AAAGCATTTGATAAAAAAAAAAACTCTAAATTTTAAATTCCCATTTAAAAAAAATCCTCCATAATAAAATGTTCAATATATTATTTGATAGGTCACACAATGTGGCATTTTTTCAGCTAAAAAGAACTTAAAGGTCATTAGAAATCAAAATGAACATTTGTTGTTTTATTTTATTATGGAATATTGCTGTATTTATTTGTTTGCTGCATTTGTTCTTGTTCATGTGCTGTTTTCCAGGGATATACGTCACAAAAGGGAAGAAAAGACTCGCGCAACTTCCATTCATGCCGACTTTAGGACAGACAAACTAATTGACTAGTTCGAATTAAGGTTAATTTTTTTCAGATTTGAGAATATGCATTTTGCGTTCACCTCGGCTGGCACTGAAGTTCTTAAGGGACTGGAGCTGACGTCCTCCGGTGGAGGGAGCACAAGTCACTTCTCCATTGGCCACTGAAGAGGCTCTGGACTGGACGCTGGTGACCGTCCCGTACGACCCGGTGAGCTCGTTGGGCCCAACCAAAGGCTTGGCCTCTTCGCTGTCCTCCTCCTCCAGGTCGCCCCGCACCTCTCCGTTCCTCTGACGCCTGTCGTCTTCAGGAGTGAAGTCCCAGTACATGAACAGCACTACGAACTGAAGAAGGATCCACAGCAGACACATGAAGAGCTGAAAAACACAACAGATCCGTCAGGGGGATGTGTGCGCAAACGCGCTCAGCGATGAAGCTTCAGTCTCTCACCCCTGGGGACGTGAATTTGTTCACTGTGAAAGGCCCGACCTGGAAGTCACAGAGCCGGAGAAAGATGTTGAACGCGGGACCTAGAAGACAAAAGTCAGCATGCGGAAAACACTAAATTAACACCATTGAGCATCCTTTTCCTCATTCCCGCAGATTTATAGGCCATATAAAAACTGTATAATGGGTCCGTGCGTCAGGTCTTAAAGTGACAGTAGCCTAATATACCGACGGCCAAATTATGAGATGCTATTAAAAATATCTATATATTATAGTTAGTAGTTATAGTGGTAATTATTCCCCTATGGGATCGGTGTCCAAACTGTGGGCAGTGAAATTCCTAAGTGACTTTGGAAAACTACTAGCCACAGTGGCTGGTGAGCAAAAAAGTTAATATCAATTTTCTTAAACATAAATGCATGTGTGTGTATCTATACAAAATAATGAAACACAGTACACACACATATATATTATAAACGTAAACATAAATGTAAACACAAACTTTTATTTTGGAACGGTATTAGAACTACACCAGGGTGAGTAAATTATGATTTAATTGTCAATTTAGGGTGAACTATCCCTTTAACTGTGTGTTTTGAGTTCCTACGGTAACGCCGCCGGCCCCAGCGGACGGCGAACTGAAAAAGCTTTGGAAGAGTAGAACAAATGGTGGAGAGATTAGATCTCTTCTTTTTCTGCTTGCGTCTCCAGCCACAGCAAGCGCATTGACCAGCCGACGATATGCCATCATGGAATTTTCTGGCTGTATGTGAATGAGCGGAGTGTGGGAAAACGGCCACAATATTTAATTATACATTTTAATTGCATTAACTGTCCTAATAACGTTAGAAAATCATGAAAATCCAAAAAATTAAATGACAATTTTTCATTATAAAATCATTTATTTTATTAAAAGTTAAGAATTCAGGTTTGTTTATCAGTACCATAGCAACGCTAACTTCCGCTGGAACCGCCTTTCGCAAGAGTTACATTTTTCGAACGCATCAGGATGACCAACTGACACGACTTTTTCTGCACCGCACTCGGTCGGACCCGTTTCGGACCCATTCGCACGCGGTCTGCGAATCGCCAAAGGAAATGAATGACTTCGACCGTTTCGAAGCCGTATCAGAGCTGATTTCAACTGCCAGTGTGAAGGCGGCGTATGGGGCAATACATTTCCGACACACGCCGGAGGTGTTCGACCAATCACAACCAACGCACTGGGTCAGCTGGCCAATCACAGCACTGAGCTTTTCAAAAGGAGGGGCTTTGAATAAATCAGCGCGTTTCAGACAGGCTGGGAATAGAGGTGCTGCAATAATGTACAGTATGTGAAAAACAAATTAGCAGTAAAGGGATTGTTCACTTTGAAATTAATTTTTGTTGTTTTATCTTACCTCAAGGGCATCCAAGAAGTAGGCGTCTTTGTTTCCACAGTATTTTCAATTTTGATATTTTTAGGTCAAACCGTTCTTGTCTGTCAGTCATATAATGGAGGTCTATGGTCACCACCTCAAAGAGCATGCACAGAGAAGTCCAAATTAAACATGATTTAATGACTCGTAAATGTAAGTACACATTGATGGCCTAAGACACGAAACGAGTGGTTTGTGTGAGAAAACGAACAGTATTTATATCGTTTTTACCTCTTGTAACCACAGCCACGTACAAGAGATCTGAGGGCGAGGGCGATTCGGTCTGCGCAAGCACCAGAAAGTGCCAGAAGTGATCTCTTGCGCGGTTGCGGGGGGAAAAAAAATGAACGTCGTCTGTTGATATATCGAAATCGTCTTCCATTGCGATTTCCTGTATATCTAAATATGTTTAAAATCTTTGTATAAAGAATGAGTGACGTAGACGCGCAAGCGATCACTTCCGGCGCATGCGCAGACCGAAGCGCCCGTGCCGTCAGAACAGTTGGACATGGCTGTGGTTACAAGAGGTTAAAAACAATATAAATACTGTTCGTTTTCTCACACAAACCGCTCGTTTCGTGTCTTAGGCCATCAATGTGTACTTACATTTGCGAGTCATTAAATCATGTTTAATCTGGACTTCTCTGTGCATGCTCTTTGAGGTGGTGACCATAGACCTCCATTATATGACTGACAGACAAGAACGGTTTAACCTGAAAATATCAAAATTGAAAATACTGTGGAAACAAAGACACCTACATCTTGGATGCCCTTGAGGTAAGATAAAACATACCAAAAGTTAATTTCAAAGTCAACTATCCCTTTAAAGCATGTAAGCCTATTCTATTCTACACCCAATAAATTAAATAATAGCATCATACCCCTTTTTTGTGTTCAGCAGAATAGTTGCTGAGTCTAAAAGGGTCTCGACTATGTTCATTGCACAACTCTAATTCCCATGTTTGGTTGTTAATGGTTGTTTTGCACCTACCAATAAGAAGCCCCGCCTGACGGCAGGCCATGACGGCAGCGAACACGGTCGAGCGGTCCTCAGGGGCCGTGTTTCGAGTCAAGAAGCCAAAGATAGAGGATCCAGCACCAGTGCCGATACCTAGGACAGCAGAAGCCAGTTTCATTACTAAAGCATCACACACACACACACACGCTTAAAGAAATTAGACTGAAACTTCACCTGCAACTAGACGACTGCCGAGCAATAACCATTTGGAATATCCCATAAAATACAAGAAATTACCTAAAGACAGACAGAACAAGAAGTTACCCACAAGCCACTGATGTTGCAAGCGTGGTGTCCATTAGGTTCGGGCTTACCGACAATCTCAAAGACATTGGCGAACAGGATGATCTTCTTGGTGCCGAGCGTGCGGTCGGACCACAGGCCGAACAGAGGCCCGGCGAGGAGCCCGCTGAAGCTGAACGCTGATAGGCTGAGGCCAAGGAAGTACGGCGGCGCACTCAGCGTCTGCAGATACCGCCATATCGTGGGCAAGATCACAGCTGGAATTAAAAATGTGCATGTGAATATTACTGGTACATCTGATATGATATCATCTTATTGTCTTTAAAGCTAGTCAGAGCTTAGTAATTTATACCAGTTTATTAATACAGAATCTTCTGTGACTCACTATAATGAAAAATCGGAGGAATCTCTGAAGACAAAGAGCGATTCTGAGACAAGAATGTCCGAAAACGTCTCTTATACAAGAAACAAGTGTATTAGAAACAAGTAACAATCCAGTCACGGCTATTAGCAACATCACGTTATATGTTTGTGTTGAATGTGACAGTATCCTTATTATTATATGGAGTCAAGAAGAAGGGCGGTTTACAATAGGCATTTTCCAGACTACTGAAACATTTAGCAACATTTATTTTATATAAGGAATCCAGATAAAATAGCACACTAATAATAAAGAACATCTTTTTTCTTTAAACCATAGCAATATGAATAGTTTAATTTAATAAATGTTTAACCAGGTCGGCACTTTGGAGTCCCATAAACTTAACAAGTAATATTATGTTAAATTCACATTAACTTAACAAGTACTATATGTTAATATTACGGTAAATTCCAATTAACGTCACAATTATATGTTAATATTACGTTAAATTCCCATTAACTTAACAAGTATATGTTAATATTAAATTCCCATTAACTTAACAAGTATGTTAATATTACGTTAAATTCACATTAACTTAACAAGTATGTTATTACGTTAAATTCTCATTAACTTAACATGTATATGTTAATATTACGATAAATTCCCATTAACTTAACAAGTATATGTTAATATTAATGGAGAAGGCATTTTCTGCCGAAATTAAATAAATAAATTAAACGATAAAAATTAAAAATAAAACAAGTTTAACCATTTCATTACAGAAAATGGTACGCAGAATATGTGACAAAATTGATAATGAAATTAAATGATTTCATTTTCATTTTCATGGTGATAGTGCATCATCCCTGTCAAATTGAAAAATAAAATGCAATTGGTGATTTCACGTTTCATTTTCACTACAATCTCGAGACAAGACTGCCAATATTAAAATGAAAAGGCAAAAGTGAAAAGAAACTGCAAACAGTTTTCACAAAGCTTTTTTATTAACATTCATGCTATAATAGTGACAGAAATCAAATTCAAATGTAAAGTTTAGTTTTAAATTATAATCATTTTATTTCCTCTTTTATTTCACAGTTTTGATTTTCGTTTTCATTTTCAAAGACAACCTGTATGCAAATTATATGTTAATGAGTGGGTGTGGTTCGCAACGCCGTTGCGTGGAGGAGGGAAAATGTCGGTGGTTATGACCAGTATAGCAGCAGAGTTAAACCAGCTTGCAAATATTTCGGATGATGATGACTTCATTTTGCTTCGAGTTGAATCTATCTTAGACACACTTGGGCACTTGCAGCCGTCACAAACTCCGAGGTTGTGCAGTGCCTTCAGGCAGTAAATTGTCCGGGGAGTCTCGTTTAGGCTAATGTAGGCCTACATTAAATTACAAATAAAGTGCACAATATATATTTTACATGAAAAACGCTTTGCTGACTTTTACGATGTTACTACTAAACGTGGAAATGTAACTTAACCAGTCCGTGAAAACTGAAAAGGGTCCATTTTAAATATAACGTTACGTGCAACAAGGTGAAAGCTGTTCGCTTCAGTTCTGTTACCTCATATGATGCTCTTTCATCCTCCGTCTGATGGTTCTCTCGCTCGCTCCGAATAAGTTTGCTACCTCTTGAGCAGTAAAACCATTTAGAAGATACATCCTTAGCGTTTCTAATGGGATGTCATACCTTGGACGACCCGGGCCGACGAGACTCCCCGGACAATTTACTGCCTGAAGGCACTGCACAACCTCACCTAGATTATTACCAACTAGATGATCGACATCGGAGTTTGTGACGGCTGCAAAGTGCCCAAGTGTGGAAATATTTGCAAGCTGGTTTAACTCTGCTGCTATACTGGTCATAACCGACATTTTCCCTCCTCCACGCAACGGCGTTGCGAACCACACCCACTCATTAACATATAATTTGCATACAGGTTGTCTTTGAAAATGAAAACGAAAATCAAAACTGTGAAATAAAAGAGGAAATAAAATGATTAAAATTTAAAACTAAACTTTACATTTGAATTTGATTTCTGTCACTATTATAGCATGAATGTTAATAAAAAAGCTTTGTGAAAACTGTATTTGCAGTTTCTTTTCACTTTTGCCTTTTCATTTTAATATTGGCAGTCTTGTCTCGAGATTGTAGTGAAAATGAAACGTGAAATCACCAATTGCATTTTATTTTTCAATTTGACAGGGATGATGCACTATCACCTTGAAAATGAAAATATTTAATTTCATTATCAATTTTGTCACATATTCTGCGTACCATTTTCTTTAATGAAATGGTTAAACTTGTTTTATTTTTAATTTTTATCGTTTAATTTATTTATTTAATTTCGGCAGAAAATGCCTTCCATATATTATAGCGTGAATGTTAATAAAAAAGCTTTGTGAAAACTGTATTTGCAGTTTCTTTTCACTTTTGCCTTTTCATTTTAATATTGGCAGTCTTGTCTCGAGATTGTAGTGAAAATGAAACGTGAAATCACCAATTGCATTTTATTTTTCAATTTGACAGGGATGATGCACTATCACCTTGAAAATGAAAATGAAAATAAAATCATTTAATTTCATTATCAATTTTGTCACATATTCTGCGTACCATCTTCTGTAATGAAATGGTTAAACTTGTTTTATTTTTAATTTTTATCGTTTAATTTATTTATTTAATTTCGGCAGAAAATGCCTTCCATACTTAAAAAATCAAATGAAGATTCAATATATCAATTTAATAATTCACACATAAAAATGTATATAAATAAATCACTTTTAAATGGACAAATTAATAGACATTTATAAAGTTGTTTATTAAATTAGTGTTTTTAAATGTATTGCATGAAAAATGGGCGAAAGGTGATTGGTTGCTCCCACGTGTGTACTGTCCAATGGCATTTTTTTAACTCGATTGACAAATGGATAAAGAAAAGCAGTTGGTAAACCGAAAAAGAAAAGCGTTTGGCAAATAGATAGAGAAATGGTTTGACAAATGCTTTAAAAAGGTGATTTAACATGTGCCTTTAAAATCACTTATTTAAGTATGTTTTTATTGTTTTATTAATCTACGTTTTAAAACATGAATTAAATAAACAATTTTAAATGCGTCTATTTATTTATACATTTAATTTTGATTTATTTATTTATTGTTTTATGGTTTTATTGCAATACATTTAAAACACTAATTAAATAAACAACTTTATAAATGTCTATTAATTTGTCAATTTAAAAGTGATTTATTTATATACATTTTTATGTGTGAATTATTAAATTGATATATTGAATCTTCATTTGATTTTTTAAGTGGCACTCCTGGTCCTCCATACATGCATGGCAAATGCCATTTAAATCAATTCGCTTTCCAATTCTTCGTTCTCTTCGTGTGGTAAATTATTATTTCAATTCAAATCGATTCATTCAAATTCTCATGATACATTTTGCCAAATTATTATTTGATAAATTTATATGTATCCATTTATTTTGATATAAGGAATTTCAATTGTTAGATATGATATGGTACCATATAATATCAACATTTTCCATAGTAATGTCATGCTAGTGTGGAGTAACTTACCAGTAGCTTGAAATATATCTTAATATTAATGACAATAACTGTTTTACTGGGCTACTAGCGTCTGATACCATCAATGCAGAGTTAAAGTGCTGATACTGTAATTCTCCCATGTAAACACTTCTCACTGAACTTACCGTACTCGATGCCGCTCAGTAAGAAGATCAGTCCAATCGTGAAGAAGGTCAGTCTCCTCTTGCGTCTATAGTCCATGTTACCCTCTTAACACGATTTATAACTTTTCGCAGCGACTTTGACTCATTTTATCATCGCGTCCCGCGGCACATAATGATCAGGACACTGCGACCAATTACTTCAGTCCAGGGACAGCGCTGCACACTGCATACTAGCGACTAGAGAAGAGCATACTTCAGCACTGAAGATCACCCACACAGGCTGACCAGGCCACCGCGAGCCTCGCTGAGATGTAAATCAGAGAATAACTCTCATAAGTCAACATAATATCGTATTTCAGTTATGATACCGTGCATTATTCGACGGCAGTGATTTTAACAACCGTCGCCGCGGTGACAGATGCACCGTCATCCTGGCGTCACTTCCGGTTGTTATCATTAGTTCCACCTACTGCCAAATTATCTAGAAAGGTTTACACACCCGATTAACAGCCCGAATCTCACTTTTCTTTTTTAAATTTATTAAAATTACATTTAACAAATTATAATACGTATAAAAAGTTGTGTATATATATATATATATATATATATATATATATATAGATGTTGTATACATAGACTCACCTAAAGGATTATTAGGAACACCAAACTAATACTGTGTTTGACGCCCTTTCGCCTTCAGAACTGCCTTAATTCTACGTGGCATTGATTCAACAAGGTGCTGAAAGCATTCTTTAGTAATGTTGGCCATATTGATAGGATAGCATCTTGCAGTTGATGAAGATTTGTGGGATGTACAACCAGGGCACGAAGCTCCCGTTCCACCACATCCCAAAGATGCTCTATTGGGTTGAGATCTGGTGACTGTGGGGCCATTTTAGGACAGTCAACTCATTGTCATGTTCAAGAAACCCATTTGAAATGATTCGAGCTTTGTGACATGGTGCATTATCCTGCTGGAAGTAGCCATCAGAGGATGGGGACATGGTGGCCATAAAGGGATGGACATGGTCAGAAACAATGCTCAGGGAGGCCGTGGCATTTAAACGATGACCAATTGGCACTAAGGGGCCTAAAGTGTGCCAAGAAAACATCCCCCACACCATTACACCACCACCACCAGCCTGCACAGTGATAACAAGGCATGATGGATCCATGTTCTCATTCTGTTTACGCCAAATTCTGACTCTACCATCTGAATGTCTCAACAGAATTCGAGACTCATCAGACCAGGCAACATTTTTCCAGTCTTCAACTGTCCAATTTTGGTGAGCTCTTGCACATTGTAGCCTCTTTTTCCTATTTGTAGTGGAGATGAGTGGTACCCGGTGGGGTCTTCTGCTGTTGTAGCCCATCCACCTCAAGGTTGTGCGTGTTGTGGCTTGTAATAGAAAATGTATTTTCTTTGTATATCTTGAAACATATATCTGATTGAGAGGTTTGTGAAGTTGCAAGATGCATCATCATCTCCTATGTAAATAGTTCAATAGTGTCCGCTTTGCAAAGAGGTCAATAGGACAGTACAAAAAGACAGAATGGTCTGTCTTTCTTAGCAATAGATAACTTTGAGTGCATCAAGAGCAAGACATGTTTGGTTAGGTGTTGTTTCTTTCCTTAGTCCAAAGATAAGACGAGGAGGAGGTACATCTAGGAGGTTGATCTTTTGGGTATATAAACTCTGTAAAATGAGAAGACATTTGCCCTACTCATATCAGACTCTGTCTGTGTGTGAACTGCCTTTCTTGCAAGAAATAAATACTAACACTTATAACTTTCGAGATCTTCATTTGCTCTTCAACTGTTGTTTAATGTGTTGATAAAAGAATTTCCACAACAGGCTTCACAAATGCTTTGCTGCATACCTCGGTTGTAACGAGTGGTTATTTCAGTCAAAGTTGCTCTTCTATCAGCTTGAATCAGTCGGCCCATTCTCCTCTGACCTCTCGCATCAACAAGGCATTTTCGCCCACAGGACTGCCTCATACTGGATGTTTTTCCCTTTTCACACCATTCTTTGTAAACCCTCGAAATGGTTGTGCATGAAAATCCCAGTTTTTTTTTTTTTTATAATTATATTGAATTAAATATATATAATTTATTTTAATATTATTGTTTAATTTGTTAAATGTCTATAGATAGACAATAACAAATAAGGGTTTTAAAGTGTATTTTGACATTGCATGTTGATCAAAAATCTCCTTTCAAAAAAATATTTCAAACTATTTTCTCTTTTTTGCCAGTCAAGACAACGTCGGGTTAAATATTTCATCCAGCCCCTCTTCTGTCTTATGATTTCCATTACAGGTCTCTCAGTGCAAACTGTCACACACTGACGCTTTTATTTCCTTTAAATTACATTAAACTGCATTCTGTGTTGGGACGTCATTTTTTGCTGTCGCTTAAATTCTCAAGGCCCAGGATGCAGCATTTTAAACTTTTTTCAGACAATTTCTCATTTACTGATAAACAGTTTAAAAGAAAACAAAGGTACAAAATGTTACATGTATCTAAATGTGATTCAAAAGGGATTGGATTAAAACGTTTGGCCAACACATGCAATGAAAAAAAGGTTTTGAACATATAACCTAAATGCTTTCCATGTAAATTCCCACGGTTTCCAGCAATATCAGTGTCTCATCAAAAGAACGTCATATTAAAAAAGAAAAGAAAAAGAGAGGTCTCCTCGGTCCTGAAAAGTGAGAGTCCACGGGGATCAGCAGATGCGACGGGAAACCCTTCAGAAAGCAAGTTTCTTCATCAGCAGATAAACCCGGGAGTCCACCTCGAATCCATGCAAGTTATTGGCATCTCCCTGCAGCCGCATCAGCAGGCCTCCGTAAGACACGTACGCCGATCTGTGCACACATTCACACACCTTTTTATTCATTTACTGCAGTCACAATGAGACATTTCCCATTAAAACGAGCATTTCATGAATGTCGAAAAGCTTGGACGCACTCACAGTCGTGTGGCCGCTTCTGTGGAGGTCTCATCGCCTTCGATCCTATAAACCTTTCCATACATGACATAATCAAACTGATCAGCCCTGCAAAGGAACAACAATCACCAGATATTATCGTTAAAACTTGAGGTAAGCTAAAACATATCAAAAATTAATTTCAAAGTGAACTCTATTTAAGCTGTAATTTAGCCCTGTGATCTGTGATTTTAGTAACATATTTGATATCATAACCACCTAGACGGTCTGTCGTCTTGAGGGTTGTATTCTCCGTCATCCGGCGTCCCGTCCTCATACAGTGTGCTGGCGATCACCAACCTGAACTTGTCACCTGAGAGAACAGGGGTGTAACGTGTCAAATCACTCACAGTTCGGTTTGTATCACGGTTTCGGTACGGTTCAAATATCCAAACTACACCAATAACATCATCGATAAATACAATAGAACAAAGACACAAATAAAATAAAGTGTTTTTCTGGCAGGACCAACATTAGTTTTCAAGGTCCTGGTGCTTTTACCAACCCAGAAAATGTGAAAGGGAAAAACAGTAAGTTAGTTTTGGTAAGGCATGTCAAAAAATAAGCTGATCAGATTTTGCTCCCCTTCTGATGTAGGAAAGAGATCTTATTATAATATTTCCGGCACGTTTCCAAAGCAAACCCGATGAATAAGGGTCTTATCTAGCGAAACGATCAGTAATTTCAAAAATAAATAAAAAACGTAAAGTTTTATAAGCACAAATGCATCACAGAACAGAGCAAGGCGAGCATTTGTGCTTATAAAAATTAAACTTTGTTATTTATTTTTTAAATGAGCGATTGTTTCGCTTGATAAGACCCTTATTTATCGTCTGGAGTCGTTTAAAGCCCTTTGAACAGTTGAAGTTTGCACTGAAACTCTCATTTGGACCTTGAACCGTTTGGTTCCCATTGAAGTCCATTATATGGAGAAAAATGCTGGAATGTTTTCATCAAAAACCTTAATTTCTTTTCAACTGAAGAAAGAAAGACATGCACATCTTGGATGACATGGGGGTGAGTAAATTATCAGCAAAAGTGTGTGTTTTTTTTGTTTGTTTTTTTAAATTGAACTACTCCTTTAAGGTGTGCTGGGATATTTACCAGGATGGGCATGTTGACATCATTTTTGTGTAAATTTGTCCATCCAAATTTGTCCAAGCACAAAACTTGAAAGAGAAGTCAATATCTGTGCGCTGTCTGGGATGTGCGAGTTATGACAGCCACTGTGTAAATGATTATATTTCATAAAATAGTTGGTGTAGAAAATTAACTTTATAATTATATTTAGAAGTTAATGCAAAACCTGCCGTAGGTGCAATTTAAAGTACCTTTCTAAAATTAAATAGCAACTGAATTAATAATTTGGGCTCTGTTGTTAATTGTAAACTTTACTATTATAGTAATGTGTAATTAAGGGCTCCCTATGGAGTTTACAGCATTAGCAAAGATTAAAAAAAATGTATCTTTAAGAAAATTTTAATTATAATATAATTTAATTAAACACAGAGACACATAGTTTAATAATAAAAAATTTAAAAAATACCAAGATACGTACCGAACCATCATGTTTGTGTACGTTACACCCACATATACACACACATATTATATATATATATATATATATTTGAACATCAATGACTTACCGAGATCGACAGGATAAATCTGGATGTTCACATCAAGAATCAGGTCCATTTTGAAAGACTCACTTTCACAGTGAAGACGAGATACTAGCAACACAAAAACAAATATGAATTTTTAATATTTCGATGTTATAGATTGCCAGTGTATTTGGACAACATTGAGTTTAATTAAAAAAGTAACTTTTTAGACATTCTTCAGTAACTTTGCAAAGACATCAACTAGCAGTCGTATTAGTAGAGTATTAGTTTCAGATTAAGTGTAAGTAGTCTACTAATACTCTAACGAGAGTTAGCGGACATGTATTTGCAAAGTTAGAGTGTCTAAAATAGACCATCGAAATAAAGTGACACCAAATATTGTTCTGGCCTTGAAGGTGTTTTGTAGTGGATATAGCATAGAGCTGAGCAAAATATGTTTTTATTTAGTTATTAAAGTAGCATTTACATTAAAATAAATTAGGTAAAAAGTTAAATATTTAAATTTTCTTGTTATTTGTTTGTACTTAATTTTAAACTTTTTGTTATAATATTGAAAAGCTCAGTATCAATTATGAATTTAGCATTTACATATGAGAGTATTTACATTAAAAACATTAACTAAACTATATTTTTTGCTTATTAAATATTTTTTAATGTTTACACTCAATGTCAAAAGTTTGGAATAATTAAGATTTTTTATGTTAGTGAAAAAAGTATCTTCTGCTGACCAAAGTTGCATTTATTTGCTCAAAAAATATGGTTAAAACAGTCATATTGTGAAATATTACTCCATAAGGATATATTGGACTAATACAAAAATAAATTAAAAAAAACTTGATTATGCCAAACTTTTGCCCACCAGTGTAAAGTAAATACTAATTAACTAAATTAGACCGAAAGAAAAATAGAATTTCTTAAAGTAGTAAACATTAACTTCATATTCTCACCTCTGTCAAACTTTTTTCCATCCGGATCAATATCCTTCACATCAAAGATGTCCTCAAACAGAATCCCAGCCATCTGTCCTCAAACTGGCGAGGTATTATCCTGGTCAAACAAAATAAGGAGGGCAAAATTTAACACGTGACTCTGTAAAATATGAATGAATATCGAACGTTATTTCATAAAGATTCACACTATCACTGTCGTTAGCATCAAGTACATTATACATAGCGTTTTAAATAAACGCTTTTCTGCAAATATGACATACTTTCTCCAGATATAGGGTGCGTGATATCGTTCCAGCTAAAAATGTGAGAGAACAACTGCATAAATAAACAACTCTCTCCTCATTCATACGAATATGAAACATGCCGCGAAACAATGTGCTTCACCTCCGGCCACGTGACTTACTTTACTACTGCATCCGGTTCATGGCGCGAATTTACTACGATTAAATATATAATTTTACTTTGCTCTCAAATATAAATATTCCACCGCCGTAGTAAATTACACACTAGCAGTAAAAAAAAAAAAAAAACATAAATAAGAATATATAAATATAACGTCTTTTTATAAGGCTTGCACGCATGAAACATAAAATAATTAAAAAAAAAAAATAATAATAATAATTCTAATATTGACCATAATAATTCCATTCTCAAAGAAACAAACCAATGATTTTAATTTACTGAAAAAAAAAAAAACTTTCGAGCCAAAGGTATCGTTGAGAAAAAATATAAAAGACTACATTTTATCTCAAGTTAAACTACAAAAATTTGCGACACTAATTTCCGGCAACCGTAGTTTCGTTGCGGTTGTTAGGAGAAAGCGTCTTCCTCATGGTTACCGCCACAGTTAGCCAAACAGCGTCTGTTTATTCCGCGGAAATCATCTTTAATAGACTATATTTCTATAGATTTGACATATAACACATCAAATATGTGGATCGTCGGTTAAAATATTCGTAACGAGGTGAGTTCGGTTATGCTCAGACTGTAAACAGGCTATCAAACAAGCTAGCTAACGTAACTGTATGGATCATACGTGAATGCTGCGCCTTATAATATACCTAAAAATATGTGTAGTGTTTTCAGCAGCATATATATACAAGTCGGTTTAAGCGTTTGTTTTGCCTTGGACTGAAGATAGGAAAACAGTTCCCAAGTGCTTGTTTGTTTTGTGTCGGTTTTCTCAGAAATTACATAAAACCTAGCCAGCAAAAAGCTGTTTATTATAACGTTACTAAATAAAAGTATTATTTATTATTTAGCAATGACATCTTCGACTTTTTTCTTTATGCTTTTCTCTGTATTCCAGTATTATTGTCTATATTGTTTTATTAGAGTGTGGATCAATGAGCTCCAGAAAATCTGAAAAGATGGGTGAGAATCTGGCCAGTGAAAGTGATCTCCTGTCTATGATCCATGAGGTGGGCTTACAACACTTTTGTCAGTTCATTTATTTAAGTAATATTTCACAAATATAGACATATAATGACAAATAACGAAATGGTTTACAGTATCTGAAGTTTGGCGAGTTTGAAGAGACTGCGAGAATATTTGAAAAGGAAATCAAACGCAAAGGAAAACCTGCCCTCAAAAGCTCCGGGGCGGCATGCCGAGACTCCAGAACCGCCATCATCTATGTGAGAGTTTCTGATCTCATCCACACATCTATCTATCTATCCATCTGTCTGTCTATCTGTCTATCTATCTATCTATCTATCTATCTATCTATCTATCTATCTATCTATCTATCTATCTATCTATCTATCTATCTATCTGTCTGTCTGTCTGTCTGTCTGTCTGTCTCTTTGTCTGTCTGTTTATCTATCTGTATTTCTATCTATCTGTGTTTCTATCTATCTGTGTCTCTATCTATCTATCTATCTATCTATCTATCTATCTATCTATCTATCTATCTATCTATCTATCTATCTATCTATCTATCTATCTGTCTGTCTGTCTGTCTGTCTGTCTGTCTGTCTGTCTGTCTGTCTGTCTGTCTGTCTGTCTGTCTATCTATCTATCTATCTATCTATCTATCTATCTGTCTGTCTATCTCTTTGTCTGTCTGTTTATCTATCTGTATTTCTATCTATCTGTGTCTCTATCTATCTGTCTATCACATCTGTCTGTCTGTCCGTCCATCCATTTGGTTTGTCCGTCCGTCTATATATCTATCTATCTATTTCTTTGTCTGTCATATCCATCCATCCATCCATCTGTCTGTCTGTCTAGACTTTGTCAAGCAACAACATTTTTATCTATTTAAAAAAAAAAAAAACATATTTGTATGTAAAATGTAAAAAAAACTGCTGTCATTTCCTGTCAAGCCAATTGCAAATTTAGAAAAAGAGTTTAAAATGAAGTATAATTCATTTACAATATTTACGTAGTTATCAGAGTGCTGGTATTTGTGATTTTTAAAAGATTACAAAAAAAAAAATTGAAAAGAAATTAAAAAATTGAAAAGCAACTGAAAACTTTGTCTCCTTCTCTTTCCTATAGGATGATTGTCTCAGCTCGTTTAACGATGGAGACTATAAGGTGTTCTCCGAGCTGTGGGCTAAACATATTCCTGCAGAGATCCGGGATTGTGATCCAGTGGCACAGAAACTGGAATTCTACTTACAAATTCATTTCACAATATACCCACTGAAATCCCCTGTAGGAAGTCACGTAAGTGCACTTTATCTTTGGTAATGGAAATCAAATGACCTATTACTTTTAAATTAAATGACTGGTTTGACATAGATAAATATACAATGCATGTACGCTGTTCGACCAACAGGTGTCCCCATTAAATAACATATTCAAGCAATCCTCTCGTTCAGTCAAATGCTTTCAATCAAGATGCAAGTTACATTTTTGCTTAATGTGAAAACATAACTGTGTGATGCAGGATAAAGGAGACTTTGAGAACAGGATCACACATTTTAAACAGTATCTGGAGACCAGAGGGGCGGCGCTGAGCCAGACCACTGAATTCCTGCCCTTCTACGCCCTGCCGTTTGTGCCCAATCCCACGGTCCACCCGTCCTTCCAGGAGCTCTTCCAGGTACAATCGCCAGAACACCAGCTGATTCAAAAAAAAAATGCTTTGACATCTTAAAATAGAATAGGAGAAGAGATACAGTCTTATAGGTACATCATACTGTAGTATATTGAGAAACTCCTATATTTATGTGTGGCAAACATCAGCTACACTGAGCACTTGCCTGATGGAGATGGCAGAAGCAGTTTTGACGTGTTGTCATTTTTTTTTTTTTCTACTTGATCATAGGATTCCTGGATGCCAGAGTTGAGAGAAAGACTGGAGAAGTTTCTTTCAGTGACTCTGAAAGCGTCAAACAAACCGAGGCTTTTGACTTTATATGTATCCTTTTATATATTTATCTATACACACACACCAAATTTCTTCTAGTGGGAAGTACTTAAAGTAGTTTTAATTAATATTGGGTAATAATTACATTTGTTCTGTGTTCAGAAGGTTTCTCAATGAGAATGTTTAACTTTTATTGACTCATTGAACCTTATCGAATGTCCCTTTTCTAATCTCATCCCAACTGCTTCTGTATGTGGAAAGCAGAATAAAGCAGAAGTGTTGTATATTGTTAACGGTTTAAAAGATACATTTAACAGTGTTTTACAGGTTAATATAACAGTAGTGTTGAATGCACAAAAGTATCTGATAGTGAAGCTAATATGAAGATAAACCAGTATTCTGCTGGTCATGTGATCTTAACAAGGCGGCCAACACGAGGACATACTATTTTTTTGATTAAATGTGTTCTAGTCCACTTATATGACACTAATAACTTTCATCTCACTTATATCGTACAGTACATAAACTAATAATTACATAAGAATTTCATATTATTAGAATAAGTTTTAATAGAGCAAATAAACTATCGTTTAAAAATTTGGGTTCAGTGCGTTTTAAAAAAAAAATAATAATAATAATACTTCAAATGAACAGACAAAAGTGACAGTAAACACATTTAGAATGTTACACGTTTTTATTTCAAATAAGTTCTGTTTTCTGAAACTTTGTTTTTACAGATTCCATTCGAAAAAACAAAATGCATAATTTGTGAGCACGATTGAATACATTTTTAAAGGCCGGATGTAGTATATCCTTTTACTATAAAGCAATAGTGAAAGCAAATATAGTTTAAATCACTGAACCTAAGTATCAGCCATATTAAAAGTGCCTTTGAAACAGATAATGTTATGACACGTCAATCCTCTTAAAAAGTTTGACCTGAAACCTAAAATAGCCGTGAGCATTTAATAATGAATTGTTTAAGCCAAACTGAACGGCGCACCTTTGAATTTATGACATCAACCAAAGCCGCTTTACAATAAACTTTATTGTACGATAAAGAAAAAAATGGTCTTCCTCAGCTATTGATGGCTGAATCTCTGTCGTAAATATAGGAAAGCCTGAGGATTATGGTTGCATAATTATTCAACATTGTGCAAGTGTATTGTTTATTGTCATAAAATGCACATGTTCTGGTGTTGTGTTAGAACAATGGATTGTGAAAACAATTCTTCTGAATGATGTTTAATGAGCAAACTGATGAAGGTTAAGTAGAAGGAAAATTGATCCATCAAAATGAAAAATGACTTGTTGGCACAACTTAACACAAAGAAACCAGACCGATGGTGGAAAAGGCAACAAAGGTGAGTTATTCTGAAGCAGGTCCTAGATTGGTACTGTATTGTTAGAGCCCAGAATGAGCTAAATTTTAATATAATATTTAATCAATTATTTAATTCAACTTAGCATAATTGTGTCCCTAATAATGGGATTGTTTCTGGTTTTCTGTGCATATGATATTGCACCTGGCAATTTTGCAATATTTTCTAGTTGGTTAACATATAAATTTTATATATATAGTGAAGATTTAAAAAAAAAAATCTTTATCTAGTATCACACAAATGACTGTTGTAATTTAGGGTGAGGGAAGAAAATAAAGGAAGTAGTTTTATTCCTGAATCTCCAGTCATGTTGTAAATCACAGTGATGGAAGTAATTACATTTTTTATAATATAATATAATATTAGGTTACACTTTATTTTAAGGTGTCATTGTTACAGTGTAAAGAACATTGTATTATGTTTTGATTGATACTGTAAAGCTGCTTTTATGCGATCTAAAAAGCGTTATATAAATATACTTGACTTGACAGTGTAGTTATACATGTAAGTACCCAGTAATATTAATTAACTACATGTGCTTACTATAGGGTTCGGGTAGGATTTGGTTGAGGATTAGTTGCATAAGTACATGCAACATGCAACAACGACACTTTAAAATAAAGTGCTATTACATAATTTGATTAGTTCTGTCAAATCGATTAATCGCGATTAATCGCATCTAACAAACGTGTTTGTTTCTACAC